CCATTAAGTCCAGGCAATGACCCTCTTGCCACGTCTCCCAAGCCTTTACAAACACGTTACAGTTTATGAGATTCTTAGCAAACAATTAGCAAATACTTGTTTATTTTGAACAGAGAAGAGAAACAGAAGATATAGGCCGTGATTGAGTTGCTTACATATCCTAGCAGGTTAAGTGATCGATCTGATCGGTAAAAAGTTGTGTTCTTCTTCCCACTTATAATCTCCAGCATAATTACTCCAAAGCTGAAAATGTCAGATTTTGTGGAGAAAAGGCCGTGCACTGCATACTCTGGCAACATATAACCGCTGTTTCCAGCGTGATCAAGCAATTTTATCAGTTAAATAGGGAAGTGTACAAACAGAATGAGCCGAGTTAATTGTGGACAGTTTAGAGGCACCACAAAGATTTTGGAAGTATGTTTGTAGTGGCAAATAAAGAAAGATAAGCATGTTGGATATAAGTTGTCAACAATCATCTAGATTCATAGAAATTAAGAATGAGGTCTGATCACTCACTATGTGCCAACAACCCTCTTCGTTTTAGTTTGACTAGTCTCGTCAAAAATTCTTGCCATGCCAAAATCTGATATTTTGGGGTTAAAATGGCTGTCCAACAAATGTTGCTTGTCTTTAGATCTCTATGGATGACTTTAAATCTAGAATACTTGTGAAGATAAAGGAGACCTTGAGCGATTCCTTCAATGATGTGCAAACGTCTTCCCCAGTCTAGCTGCAAACGCTTGTTAGTATCTGCACAAGCATATGCAATTATAATTACAGTTACATCAAGAAAGTATGCTTATGTACGTCAAAGTCCAGGGGAAATACGAGAAGTCAGAAGGCGAACCAAATAAGAAGGAATACAAGCTGTCATTGGTCATAAATTCGCATATTAATATCTTCTCTTCTTGTTCAGTGCAATATCCCAGAAGCCTAACAAGATTACTATGTTGGAGCTTTGATATCAGTTGAAGCTCGTTCTTGAATTCCTCTAGTCCTTGTCCAGACATTCTAGAATGTCTTTTTACTGCAATTTCATGTCCGAGTATCTTGCCTTGCAATTTTAAATTTATGATAGTGCTTACTCTATTAGCACTAGAGATTTTGAGGCCATATAGCAACTAAATTGTAACACAAAATCGATTAAGTTGTCTTGGATCATTCTCCTATCATGAAAGAACGTGTACCGTGTATACAGGACCAAAACCACCCTCCCCAATCTTACTGGCGAAAGAAAAATTATCATTCAGAGAAACTATGCTTGAAAAGCTTAGATGCGGCGGTTCAGGATCTTTCCTCTTGCCAAGTTCAAGACTATTTCCATCACTTCCGTAAGTTGCAGTGAATGCATTGCTTACAAACTGATACAATAAATAATGATACACTTTCTCTTATGGCATCTTCTCTCCCTTTGATAACTCCTGCATTTAAGTATAACCATGTAGCTGAGTGTCATGTGAAATTATTGAAAGACGGGAAATTAAATGGAGACCATAAATTTTGATATATAGATATTCGTACCTTCATGTTTAAACTTTCTCCATCTCAGGTATAACCAAACTGAGGCAACAATTGCTATTAATACTGAAGATACTGGAAGTATGACAGAGAGCATCAACCACCTTCTTCTTTTGGCTTCTAGGGGATTGGGATAAAAAGATATCAATCACCACCAGATTACTCGAATCTAAAACTCAAAACTTTATTATTTTAACTGCACTGTTTTCTAATAATCTGGTTTTCCACTATTAATTGTTGTTAAATGTATTATAAGCGCTTACCGGAGCTTCCAGAGAACTCCCCTCTAACATGAATGATGCCATTGCCTTTACCAATTCCATGGAGAAGATCCCACTTACTTCCATAATAAAGCTCGCATCCTGCTGCATCGTCACAAAAAGAAGAATATGCAGTGCAAGAACAATTATTTACTGCATATAATTTCACAATCACTAGGTCCCATACGAACTGATTCATACACTACCACTCTTTCCTCGTTCCTCTCCTCTCCTTTCCTCCTTCCCTCCTCTCTTCCCCTTCCCCTCCCCTTTCCACCCAGACCCATTGAGACCATGCATTAGGGGAGGGGTGAGGTATGGCGGGAAAGGGGAGGGGAGAGGAGGAGAGGAGGGTAAGGCTTAGTTTGGGAGTTTACGAAGGAAGAGAAAAGAAAAGAAAAGATAACTTAGGAAACAAAGGAAAAGAAGGGAAAAGATGGATATTTCGTTTGATAGTTCAATGAAAGTAAAGAAAAGAAAAGAAACATCTTTCTCTTATTTGAGAGTTGGAGAAATATGGAAAGAAAGAATTTTATGAGAACAAAACTTTACTACGTATTTTCCCTTTCAATTTTTAAATCAAAGTCCAAAGATTAGCTTTCTTGTTCCAATAAATAGAATATTTGGGCAAGATAAATTTGTAAAATAATTGCATATGCATTCCCACAAGATGAATAATAATAATTTGAGTTCCTAAATGGTGTAAGACATATTTTTTATACATTTCATGATTATTAGCCCAATCTATAAAAAGCTCATTGTTTGTAATCAAATTCAGGGGCTTATCCCATGGATGATAAAATTCCTAGAGGCATCGGTTTTTGTGAAGCTGTTCGGATTGTTGATTTACAACATGGAAACTCAAAACCATGAGATCATTTTATAATTTGAAGCTTACATAGGCAAATAAACAAACTTATGCTTTCAAATTTCATATTCATGTATCACCACTGGAGCTTACATGTACCATAACCATGCCAGATATAATCACAAATCAATAATATAAAAATCAAGAGTTTATTGACAATAATTTTATGATAGAAAATGAACAAAAAATTTAGAATATAAACAATAACAATCTACACAAAAAAAATGCTTTTTCCACAATTCTTTAAAGAAGATTGAGCAAAGAACGAAAGAAGAGATTGAGTCAAAGAAATACCCTTTGTTATTAAATTGTGGATGAAGAATAAAAGAAAACCAAGTACACTCGACAGTTGGAAGAATATAAAGTATAGAACTGAGAAAGCTTTGCATCGTTGCTTTTACAAATCAACTTTATGATATATCGGGAATAATAAATTTTTGTACTATATTTTAAAGGACAAAATTGTCATATTAAAAATATCTTTTGGCACCCAACAAGTTTTCATCTTTTTCTTTCCAATTTTGGGCGGAAAAATTTTCACCAATTAAAGGAAGTCCCATCCGTTCATTTCGTTTTTCTTCCGTACTTGTTAAAACTCCCAAGTGAATGAAATGGTAAAACTTTATCTTAGAATACTTTATTTTCTGTCTTTTTCTCTCCATCTAAATGAAGCCTAAGGGAAGGGAAGGAGAGCAGAGAAGGAGGAGAAGGAAAAAAGAGAGGGAGGAAGAGGGAGGGGGTGGTGGTGGTGGTGATAAGTGATGGTGTTAATTTTTAAATTTTAAAAATATTCCACAATATATCTAACAAAAATTTTCAAAAACATTTATAGTAAAATTTTTCATATATATTGCTCTAATAAAATATTTTTAAAATATCCCAAAAAATAACTAATCCAAATGTAACATAATTATACAAATTTATATTCAAATTAACTATTGGAGCTTATAGAGCAACTAATTTTGATCTCGTTGAGTAAATGCACATATCATAATTTATTTGGACCATGCAGTTGTTAAAGAATATATTTTTTTCATTCCACTGATAGCGGCATACCTTTCATTCTGTAATGTTTCAAAATGTTTGTTATCTTATTAAAACTAAAGTTACTTTTATTATTTTTTCTAATTTTGTCTCTACTTATAGTTGTATATCATGTGACATTTAAATTCAAAATTTAAATTTTGAGGGCAAGTTTGGAAACAAAAGCATCTATATCACAATTAATCCACTATTTTTAAAAAGTTAATCCCGAAAAGCAATGAAAAATGCGGGACGAGAGTAGTACTTAAATATTATCAACACAGACAGACACAGACCTTTAGTTGTATATCATGTTATATTCAAATTTATATTTTAAATTTGAGGGCAAATTTGGAAAAGTTTGGAAATAAAAGCATTTACATCATAATCAATCCATTATTCTGACAAAGTTAGAATCCCGAAAAGCGATGGAAAATATGGATGGGAGAGAGTACTTAATTATTACTTATATATATGATTAATTTTATGTACATTAATAATGTATATATTGTCATTGTTTTTTTTTTTTGTAACTCGGAATGTGCCTCGATTCGAACCCTTAAGATCCGAACTGGCATACCACGACCCCACGCAGCGACCCAGGCAAGTCATAAGGGTTTAAGTCCATAATAAAATTCGAACCCAGGACCTCAAAAGTTCTTAAGAGTTCGCTTACCGCTGGACCACCCCTGTGAGAGCTATATATTGTCATTGTTGAATGCATAAAAACTAATACAAATGTGTTCGTATAGTAGATTATTTGGGATGATTTTTGAAAAATACTATATCACTTTTTTTGATATGATGTAAATGAAATAAAAAGGTGATTGAAAAATATGTTGATAATAGAAGCAAATATTAATAGGATTGTTTGGATAGAGTATTATTTAAAATATTATTTAGAATAATTACTGTAGCACTTTTTGTGATGTAATGTATATGAAATAAAAAGGTGGAATTGAAAATATAAAAAAATGAATTGAAAAATATGTTTATGATGCAAGCGAATTATTATTTGAAATAATTGGCTATCCAAACAAACCCTTAAACAATCTAATATGCAAGCAAATAGTAAAGAAGATTCAATTTGTTTATACACACACGTATGAATACTAATCTTTTACACCAGCCACCCCCAACGTTCCATGAAACGGCGCCGCCTCAATAATTCAAAACTTAAACGCCCTTTCCTATGCCTCTGACCCGCTCATATTGTTTTAACTTCCCCCACAAAAAAAAAAAAAGAGAACGAACAGTCCTTAACCACGTCAGCACTAACCTTCGAGCTCCTCTTATAAATACGGATCTATCCCTGCTCCCACAATCTCTAAAATCGCAATTTTGACTGTCTGGAGGCCACAGCTGCTCGACTAAACGTTGAAACCTCAGCTGCTAACCTAAACGTTAGCAGGTGCTGAGGGACATGTGTCTCTCTCCCTCTCGCTCAAAAAGCTAGGGTTCATCGATTCGGCAACGACTTGGAACCAAACAATCTAAACCCGAGGATTATTTGTAGTATCTTAGATTTCCAGATACTGTAATTAATAGCGAAAAGACTGAGAGGAGCTGGCTGTTTCAAAATCGAAAGACATCTTGTGAACTTGCGGTAAACTCATAGACCTGATTTTTGGGTTTGATAGTTGTAGAGATCTGATTGTTTAGCTTATCTCAAGACTTGTTTTCATGTCTGATTGCTCTATTTCTCTTTGAGACGACTTGTCGGTGACTTCTTCGATTTGCGAGCATGATTTATCTGATTTTGGGGAAATTTACATCTCCTCTCTAGGTAGCTGTCATGCTTTGGAACTAAGAATCTCCATGCTAAAATATATACATATGCGTACACACACACATATTCAAGTTCAAACAAAAACGATTTCTGCTGTTTAGGTTTCAAAGGAAATGAATAGTAAATATGCATTATGATCAGAATTTGGAATCTTTATCTATGAAGGATAATTGAGTTTCTTATTCAGTATCTTCTTCTTATTCTTCCTCTTTTGTTTCCCCCAAGAGGGTGTGGAGGGAATTGCGCTATTTTTTATTGATAAAATTATCGCTAAATTTAACATGGATGAGTGCCTCCTGCTGTTTTAGTAATTTCTAGTCGAAAGTTGGGATTTTAGGTGGCATACGATGTTTCTGGAGTGTCACGAGTCATGATAAAGTTGGGTTAAGCAAGTTTATGCCATATGATGAGTTAATGTTCGGCAGATTTGGTTGATATTGAGGATTGGTGTGGTGTTTCAGAGCTGCCTAGTGTTCTGAGATGTGCTCTTGGTCCACAAATGCTAGCCGTGATTCTGATAGATATTTTTCTTTGTCTTGTGTTCTTTTGGGAGTGTTGTTACCTGATTGGCATTAAGCTCAGCAGTGGTCATGCTTGTGGAATATTATTTTGTGGTACAATCGTTTCGCATATTCTTCGTTGGCTAGGTGTGCTGGGAGATGATTTGCTAATATTGTGTTCTACTTGTTTTGGAGGAAGAGGTTGTTTGTTCGTATAGCTAGTTAAGCAGCCAATCGAAACTTAATAGCTGCTTGAAGAGCACAGCTGAAAGGGAAATGTTCAATGCTTTTGCTACTGTAACTTCAATAGCAGTAAGCACAATGTTGCTCTATTTCAGAAGCAGTTTCCAGCTTTTGATGTTGGTAGAGAAGTTCTTTATGAAATATGAGATCCAGCGAAAAGGGGAATGGGAAGATTACCTATTAGCGAATACAGGAAGTCATGTTTTGCTCATTATTGCTACATCGGTGGCAGGATTGCTATTGTTGCACTTGAGAGTCTCAGACAGATTGTGAATTGTGGGTGAGGGTTTTAAACTAGACAAGGCATTGCAGTTTCATACAAAATGCTATCTTTGGTTAATTCTTGTGCAATGGATTGGTTCACATGCATTTGCTTGTGACTCCATTTTTCACAATGCTGAGTACTCAATTGCAACTGTTAATACTTGGGGAAAGTCATGTTACACTGGGAAAAAGGCAGGAGGAATAGAGTGCCTGTAGAATCTGAACATTAATGAATCTTGCACCTAATTTCACAGTTGCCCACGGCTTTGGCTGGCTGAGTTCATTTTATTGTAGTAGGCACTTGGCAATTCAATTCATAACAAGGCAAGTTATCTAGGAAAACATTGTATTTGCTTGTTAATTACCATTACTGGATTGGGTGTCTTTCTTGATATGTTTTCAATCTCTAGGAGATGCTTGATGTGTTCATGTGATTGCTGCTATGAAATTGTCTTGATATGCATTACTTATAGCTTCCAAGTAGATGAATAGCATCGATTTGGATTGGAATAGGTTTGGTAAGAATTTGCTTTTTAGGTCACATGAAGTCTTCTGAATTCATGTACATCTGCAAATATTGGGTGGATAGATATGGTTGTATCTTGTGAAAGTTTTCATCATAATTGCAACCAGTTTGTTTTGTTATTTTGGTTTGTTGTGGAGTCACTTACTGTTGCTGCTGCTGTTTGTTTTGTTTTACTCTAGATTCAGATTTCGTGTCACTGTTGTACAAGTGCTTTTACACTTACACCATCAACATTAGGAGAGATACTCAACAATACACGAGCTAATTTGGTATAGCGACATAGAAATGCCTAAGGAGAGAAGAGATCGTTCTGTGTCTTTTGATAGATCAAGGGCATCTCCTTTCCCATGCAGTTCTAGTCGCTCACGGCACTTATTGCCCAAAAACCCATTGGAAAGTGATGAAAATGCAAAAGAATGGGAAGAAGCCCGTTGTCCAGTCTGTATGGAACATCCTCATAATGCTATTCTCCTTTTATGTGCATCTCATGAGAAAGGATGCCGTCCCTTTATGTGTGATACAAGTTACCGCCATTCAAATTGTTTTGATCAGTTTCGCAAGTCATTTGGAGAAGCTTCATCAACTACACTGCAGCGAGAAGAAGCACCTATATTGGCTTCTCACTTGGCGTCCACCTCAATGATCTCGGAACCACCAGTTACGGCTTTAAATGTTGAAAGAAGGGAGGGAGGGCCTGCATCACTGGAAGCAGTGTCTTGCGAAGATGAAATAAAGTCAAAGTTGGTGTGCCCTTTGTGCCGTCAGCAGATCCATGGGTGGATGGTTGTGGAGTCCGCTCGTCATTTTATGAATGCGAAATCAAGAAGCTGTGCTTGTGAAACCTGTGATTTCAATGGCGCGTACAGAGATTTGCGGAAGCATGCAAGACAGGAACATCCTCTTGCGCGGCCAACAGAGGCTGATCCAGAGAGGCAACGCAATTGGAGGAGGTTGGAGCAGCAGAGAGATTTAGGAGATTTGCTCAGTACCCTGCAATCATCCATTGGAGAAGAACGGAGTGAAGAAAGTTCTTTACCTTTCGATGAAGGGGGTTGGCTTACTGTCTTTTTCCTTATCCGAATCCTGCGACCTGGGAGTGCCTCAAGGAGCAGTAGCTGGTCTGGTTCTTCAAGGACCAGGGCTCATGTCACAATCAGAAGAAGACCATCAAGAAGGCTTTGGGGGGAGAGCTATGATTGGGAAACAGATTCCAGGGATGATGATAATGAAACTTCAGATGGTGGATCAGGACTCTGGGCACATCGTGATAGAGTACAACGAAGACCCACTTCAGACGATTAGTCTTTGAGTGGAAAGTGTTGCACTAGATTCCATTCTTTCCCTTCGCATTACTGTAATAGGTACTGCGGTCAGCAGAAAATGCACCTTGTACTTAAACACGGTTCTGCTTCTTTATGTTATCAACTTATCTGTAAACACCCTGTTGTTTTGGTTAACTATTTGCTTATCTTTCAGGTGCAAAGGGGAAGCACTGGAAATAACTGTCAGGTGCCCAAGATTGCTGTTTGGCATCTCGTGTTTTGTGAGAGAGGAAGTAAAAAAAAAAAAAATTTGTAATTCCTACTTTTGAATTATGATTTATACCATTCACTTGCTTTTTGAATCTTCTGTAGATTTTTGGTCTACAGATATTTTCGTGTTATCTGTAATTGTTAAATTAAAGTAATTGAACACATCATCATCTCTATACGGTAGCATGAGTTGATTAGTTATGTTGGGAGTTTGCAGCTGTAGTAGCGGTAATTGTCGCTCCCTCTAGAAAGTAGGAAAGTTGGAACGCTACTATTAGATATTCCTTCTTTAGTCAGTTAATCAGTCCTGATTAGTTCCATGCATCTGGCGTGCAAAGTGTCAGGGAACTTGGTAATGTTGTTGGTGAGAGCTCGTAGGCGAGCCAGACTTGGCTAAAGCCTAAAGGTTGGCAACATGTGAGGTGGATGATGTGGTTGGCGCTGAGATCTTGATGGATTTTACGACACTAGTATTATGTATAATAAGCGTTTGAATTAAGTGGGCTGTATGGGAAGCTTTTACCCTTTTATCTTCTCGTAGACTTGGTACTGAAAATTGAGAACGTCTGGTATTTGGGGACCTCCTGTTGTTGTTTGGATGATGCCAAAGTTGACGGTTTGTCAAGAATTGAGCAGATATATGAAGTCACTACAAGACGCTCTAAACAGGTATAAAAAGGAAATTAACAGCCGCACGCTATTCTAGTACGTCTCATGTGAAAGGTGATCCATCATCCAGTGTAGCAAATTTAACAATTTTCTTTTTGCCAAAGTCTGGTGCTTGTTACGTATTATGACAGTGAAAGCTGTAGCACAAATTTTGTTGTCTAAGATAAAATATAAGAAAACATGTACAAATATTAAATACATTAAATTTAAAATAAAAGGACTGCAATTTTTGAAAATTCTTAAATTAAATAAATTAATTTGCTGATTCTTTTCTTCAAAGGTTTTATCAAAAGGGCGTTTTCTATAATTTAGACGTAGAAAATAGTTGATTTGATGACGTCGATTGAATACTCGAATTTTCGATCTTGACGTTTTCGACACAATATAATGTATTTTTATAATTTAATTTAATTTAATCAATATCAACTCAATTTATTTGATATTGGCTAAATAAAGTAAATATATATTTTTTGGGTGCGCAAAGAGATCGTACGAAATTGTAACAGTGGTGAAGTTTAGACTGATGAGGGAACCTTTTTTTTTGTAGTTAAACGTCGGGTGATGTATACATTCTTAGATGCAAGAAAAAAATTGGCGGGTAATGCTTCGAATTTTTGTTCTGTAGTGTGATTTAATGAGACCCCAAGTGCTAATCAATTATGGTAGTGTCGGCCTGTCAACTAGTGGCTTGGTGCCATTTGCCAATCACTGCTCAATTCGGAATAAAATACATCGCTTCAACGAGCCTTTCTCTTCTGACGAGAACGACAAAAATGGAGGAAGAAATAGTTTTTTTTTTTTTTTCCCCTCTTTTGGGCACTGTGGAAGGAGAAGTAATTGAAGAAAACGTGTCAGTATTATACTTTCGGGTAGGAGTATTAAAGAACTAAAGAAACTTTTGGGGTATGCATTATGCATGCTACTACGATGACATTCCCTAAAACTCGACTTTCTAAAGAAAATAGAAAACACCCGGAGGCAATCAATTATGTCAAATTACCAATCATTTCTGTCCAATGAAAGTCAAAGGCAATTTGCATCCAAGGATGAAAACCAAATGCAACAATGGCATTAATACTTGGGTTTTTATCAATTTACCCCGTTAAACCGTACCTCAACTATCAGTTTAGTCCCTAACGTTAAGTTTTAGTCACTTAAGTCCTTGGACTAACGGTCAAACAGTTAGTCCAAGGACTTAAGTGACTAAAACTTAACGTTAGGGACTAAACTGATAGTTGGGATATATTTTAAGGGGGTAAACTGATAAAAATTTCATTTTATAATTCACGTAAAAAGATATATTTAGATCCAATTTAATTATAAATGGACAAATATACCCATAAATTGCCCTACTAACTAACTAAAGTTTGGTGAAAAATTTTATGACAAAAATATCCTCTCCTAACAAGGATTAGAAAGCTTTTCTCTCCTCTATTTTCTTAAATTGTTTACAAAATTTTTTATTTTGCGCAATATCTTGTCAAGACATTGCAAATATGATGATATCGAAGTGTGGGATTTCATAACCTATTTGCACGTCATCAAGCAAAGACAATCTTAGAAGGAAAATTTTATAATTATTCCATTATAAGGTTTATTTTTTCTCAAGTGATATGTTACTAAAAAAATTTTCCCTAGTGGTCCTTTTCTTTTCATAATTTTCCAAATTATAAGAACATGCGAGTTTTTCCAGATTGAAACAATTCTCACATATTAGCAGGGCAATTTATGGGTATATTTGTCCATTTATAATTAAGTTGGATCTAAACATGTTTTTTTACGTGAATTATAAAATGCCTTCTTATTTGACCTTTAGTCCAAGGACTTAAGTGACTAAAAGTTAACGTTAGGGACTAAACTGATAGTTGAGATATAGTTTAAGGGGATAAACTGATAAAAACCCTTAATACTTTCTAGTATTTTTGTCATTAGGATTGGGGAGCAAAATAAAACCAAATGCAACAAAATATTAATATATATTGCTTTGTATCAAAATGATTGCCAATATGTTACACAGAAGATTCCGTAGCAAAATTGATTTGTATCATAATGATTGCAGCTGTTCGAGTACCGGTGAAAACCAACGCAACCCGCGATTAGTAGTAATGTGCACCCGTTTCAAACTTTATATACAAAAATGGATAATTCCATAAACCTCCCCTGAGATTTTTAATAATTACACTGGCCTCTCTTAAGGTTTGTAAAATTAATACTTACCTCCCTTGATGGAATTGCAAACCCAATTACTTATACTTTATATGGGAAAAAATTACTCATATACTTTAGAATATTATGTCTTATTAGAAACTAATATCTAACGATTGAATAATTAGAGCACTAATTAATTATTAGTAACTAATTAATGGAAGTAATGTTGAGAATTTTTTTAATGATAAATGGTGACTTACAATTACAAAATAATGCCAATTGATGCACCAAATGATAATATTTTGTGATTGAAAAAACTTGTCAATGACAAAAAACAAGTTTGTACGCAATGTGAGAAGAGATTATTTGGTAAAAGGAAAAAACACAAGAGAAAAGAAAGGTTGTTCACGAGCAAGTGTTTCTTAAAACTCTTAAAGTTATGATAATTGTAAACTAATTTCGTGGAAATAAAGGAGAAATAACGGAAAAGAAAGACAAAATTTGAAATTTTTTTATTTTCAAAATCACAATAATTATAGCAAACCTCATATTAAAATATATGACTAGTTTGTTTTATTGAATCTTGTGATCATTAATGTAGTTTTGTTGTTTATTTGTGTTATCTAATATATTGAATATGAATTTTTTGAATAGTAAAATATGTAAGTTAATTGTTTTTAACTTTTAATTATTTTCATTCTTTCACTAATATAACTTATATGCACGCATAAAAGGGGTATTTATGGAATCAAAGTTTCATCTCTTTTTTTAAGATACTTTTTTAATGTTACTTTTTATGATTTGGACTAATTTTGTTACAAAATCTTAACTTTAGGGGAGGTTTATATAATTTTACAAACCTTAGGGGAGGAAAGTGAAATTATTAGAAATATCAGGGTAGGTTTTTAAAATGATCCCTAAAAAAGGTAATATTCCTTAAAAAAAAAAAACATGTAATACGCACATTTCCTAAACTAGAGCTTTGCCTTTCTACCCCAAAAAGCGCCAAGTTTTTCCTCTGCCTGCAGAAGAAAAACTGTAAACAAAAATAGGGGAGAAAACAGAGAGAGGAAGAGAAGCAAGTCCACAGGAAAAGAGAGGGAGAGATTCTGAGAGTCAAGGAAGAGTCTCAATCTTGAAAAATCTCGTGGGTTTCTCTTCAAAAATTGATGTGCACGTGCAGTCAAAAGAAAAGATCATAGATTGAAAGGAGGGAGAAAAGCAAAGAAAATAAAAGAGAGAGGATAAAGAGGGATTTTTGTTTCAATTCTTTTTTTAAGGGGGTTGAGAATAGAAATATGTCAAACTCCGCATCAAATCACGGTAGTGATGGCGGCGGTGGTGGAGGTAATGGCAGCTCCGAGACCCAAGTGGTGCTTAATGTATATGACCTGACCCCTCTCAATCATTATACAGTTTGGTTTGGTTTTGGCATCTTCCATTCTGGCATTGAAGGTGAGAAAAAGTAAACACCCCACAAATGTTAGGAAAGCAAAAAGAGTTCCTTTTGCTTATTGGATTTATGGATTTGTCTTAGATTTAACTTTGTGTTGGTTTTTTCAAATGACTATGATTTTTGGTTTGGCTTACGTTCTGGATATGCTTTCTGGGTTTGTATCCTTTTTGTTATACCTGAGTCATTTGAGAGTTGCTCACGGGATAGGGAATGGAGTTTTTCTTTTTCTTGGGGCCTTATTTGTGTAGTTCTTTTGATTATGGTGGATGATCAGCTTGGTTATTCTTGAGCTTGATAGCTGGAATTGGATCTTTTTATCTCTGAGATTTTACATGGTAGGATTGTAGCTTAATTCGAATAACATACATTTCGAACTTTAATAAGAACCAGAATGCAGCCTTATTCCACTTTGCGCAGTTGAAATCTCAATTGATTTAAGTTGATTAATGTTTTGCTTTTTAGACTTCGTGGTCTGTTTACATTGCATCGTGAATACAAGGATCCTAATGCCTGGGCTACCTTTCATCTGTGAAATTGCACGTAGTTTGTTTCCATTTATAAAAATCTATAGGGACACTCCCAGGATTTATTTGGCCATGAATTTCGTACCAGGTTGATGAGGTTTCACTGATGGAAGAGACTAATTAGATGCTAAGTTTCACAGCTCACTACATACAGGGATGGCAAGGGTGAGAATATGACTGATCAGATTTTGATTTTGAGTGGCCTTTTCTGCTAGGAATAATTTTCTTTGTTTGAGTTTTATTTGGTGGGTAATTGACCAGAATTATCTGAAACTGATGCATGGTATAATATTGGACCCGAACGAGAGACCTCTGCTCTTTCTCTCCATCCTTTTTTTAACTCATTTTTTGTGTCATTCATGTTAAAGTACATG